GGAAGTGTCGGGGGTGGATGTTCGCGATCGGCAACGAGTCGGGATGCTGCGGTTTGTCGGAAAGTGTGGATTACGTCGTTGCAACGTCCATCACCGACACCATGGGCCATCGACACCCCTTCCACCTGCAGCAACCCCCTCTGATCAACGGCGTCCACCTTCTCTCTCGCTCGTGTTATATCGACGGGCGCAGTTTCATACACGAAACCGGCTGGTAGACGTTGCACTGACTCGATAGCGTCGCGATGCATCGTCTCTTTGGACGCAAATTCGTCTCTTTCGTAGTACGTTCACCCAGTACAACCCTAAACACCGTACCTTGCACTCCGAGAACGAACGAACGTTTAGCATGACACGTTTATGTCTATTCTTTTCTTTCTTTCGTTTGCTGGATGAGTGTTTTCTATGTTCGTTTAAGTTCCACGGAGAACGGGATCCTTGTTTCTTTCGAGTGTGCCGCAGCGAGTTTGGAGAACCGATTAAAGTAAGAGACACGTGCTTTTTTCACTTTCTTATTTTGTTCAGGTTTCAGATTTTGTGAGGATTCGAGGAATATTTTAAGGAAACTGTGTTTTTAAATTTGAATGTTGGAAAATAGGATGTGAGAACTTGAATATTTTGATTTAGGGGCTGCAGATGTGAATATTTGAATAATTTAAACTTGACAGTTTAATAGGGGATGAATATATAATTTTTGTTGCAATTTTCAAAAATATAAAAACTTGTATTATTAAAGACATTTATTTTTTTTATAATTATTTAATAAATGAGAAAGGTGGAACTTCTACATTTTTACAAAAAGCTTATTACTATTTTAGTGTTTAAAAATAATTTTTTAATTTTTATTCTTTAAATGTATATCTCAAAAAATATTCTACATGTTTGCATGTATTTTTTAAGTGTGCATTTTAAATATTTTTTAATATATTTTAAAATATTCTAATGTGTCTTAAATGTATGTTTAACAAGTGTCTCATCTTTTCATTAATTTCTGTCTTTTCGATTAAATTTCTGACAAGCTACATTATTTATACATAATCAATTTTTATAAATTCTCAAATTCTAAAACCTTCATGAACAATTCTAAAAAATTATTGAATAATAAAATAGAAAATTCTTGCAAAAAATTATCTTCACCTTCAGAGTTCAACATTTTCTAAATGTTAAAAAAATTCTAATTGATTAATTACTTACCTAATTGTTTTTCTTGTATAAAAATATTGATGTACCAAATAATAATTCAATGAAATTAATCACTGAAATAATTTGTTGAGAACGTAAAATATGTGGAACAGAACAGTGAACAGTTTAAACACGAGTAACTCAATAAAAAAAAGAAGAGATAGTATACGTGTCTCTTATTTCTGGTTGCTCTACTTTCCGCAAGATTTATTGTTACAGGTTGTAAGCTCTGTCCTCTTCAAACAGACTAGTTTTATTACAGACATCACAGAACACACGATCTATGTTCTCTAATCCGGACCATTTGTTTGTGATAACCGTAATTTCGGTCTACGATGTTTTAAACGATCAAACCGTGACTTACTGTCGCCATATTTTTGCTGGGATATTAACGACTTCGTGAAGAATAATGAATTCAACGTGATTTATTGTTCACTGTACTTTGTTAGAATTTTGGTTGTACGGATGAGAGACATTGGGGAACTGTGATTTATTTCAGGCAGAGGTTCATTTTTATTGTAGGACTGTGATGAAGTTTTTGTATATTGTAAATGATACTTTTGTATCGTTGTTTGGGAGAATTGGTGAAGGGCAGGATTTGAGTTATGAAAGTGACTTTGACTTTTGTTGACATAACCTAACTTTCTACCTTTGAAAGTTTGAAAATTTGTTAATCAGAGAGTTTGTACAATTAAAGTATTTTAAAAAATTTGTAAATTTGTGAACTTGTTGCTTAGACAAGTTTTAAAATTGTAAACTTGTTGCTTAGAAAATTTGACAATTTCTAAACTTGCTTAAAAAAATTGTAAACTTGTAAACTTGTTGCTTAGACAGTTTTAAAATTGTAAACTTGTTGCTTAGAAAATTTGACAATTTTTAAATTTGCTTAAAAAAATTGTAAACTTGTGAATTTGTTGCTTAGACAGTTTTAACATTGTAAACTTGTTGCTTAGAAAATTTGACAATTTCTAAACTTGCTTAAGAAAATTGTAAACTTGTGAACTTGTTGCTTAGACAAGTTTTAAAATTGTAAACTTGTTGCTTAGAAAATTTGTCAATTTCTAAACTTGCTTAAAAAAATTGTAAACTTGTGAACTTGTTGCTTAGACAAGTTTAAAAATTGTAAACTTGTTGCTTAGAAAATTTGACAATTTCTAAATTTGCTTAAAAAAATTGTAAACTTGTGAACTTGTTGCTTAGACAAGTTTTAAAACTGTAAACTTGCTGCTTAGAAAATTTGTCAATTTCTAAACTTGCTTAAAAAAATTGTAAACTTGTGAACTTGTTGCTTAGACAAGTTTTAAAACTGTAAACTTGCTGCTTAGAAAATTTGTCAATTTCTAAACTTGCTTAAAAAAATTGTAAACTTGTGAACTTGTTGCTTAGAAAATTTGTAAATTTCTTAACTAGTAGCTTAAAAAAATGATAACTTATAAAATTGTTGCTTAAAAATTTTGTAAACTTGTAAACTAGCTTAGAAAAATTATAAACTTATAAACTTGTTGCATAAAAAATTTGTAAATCTGGAATTTTGCTGCTCAGGAAATTTATAAATCTATAAACTTGTTGCACAGAAAGTTTATGACTTAGAAAATTGGTAAATAAAAAACAAAATTAAAAATGATTGTATATGTACTTTAATAAAAGTCTTAACACAAATTCTTTATGGAAAGAAAATTGTTAAGAACACTTTTATTTATTAAATTGTTCATGTATGCAATTTAGAGACCATTGTCCTAATCATGTAAAAGAAATAAAATCCATTTGAGTATTGATTATTAGACTGTGAACATTTATGCACATGTAAGGAATTTTTTGTATAAAATGCAGATGAAGTCTGTGACCTATAGATGAAAGCAATGAATCAATTGGGTCAGTGGTCTATTAATAAACCTCTGAGTTATTAATCTAATAAAATATTGAAAATATAGAGAAGTGAGAGAGGAAATGTAAAAATATAGAAAATATGTAAAATTGAGAGAGACAATGTAGAAAATGTAAAAATATAGAAAATATAGAAAAGTGAAAGAGGAAATGTAAAAATATAGAAAATATGTAAAAGTGGGAGAGAAAATGTAAAAATATAGAAAATATAGAAAAGTGAGATAGAAAATGTAAAAATATAGAAAATATAGAAAAGTGGAAGAGAAAATTTAAAAAATATAGAAAATATAGAAAAGTGAAAGAGGAAATGTAAAAATATAGAAAATATAGAAAAGTGAAAGAGAAAATTTAAAAATATAGAAAATATGTAAAATTGAGAGAGGAAATGTAAAAATATAGAAACTATAAAAAAATGCAAGAGAAAATAAATAAAAATATGCATAACACATTTGCATGAACGTCCACAGTCTATTCATCACTATACATCACACATACACAAGTAGAACCCCTATTCACAGGTACACCTTAATTAATTCTCTAATTAACATTTAATACAGGTGATTCACAGATCCTTGAGCCCAGTCAGTGAAATAAAATCTGTTTCAATTAATCAATGAACATCTTGACATTCAAGGACAGTTTGAAGGTCACAATTCTAAAAACTCCTCAAATAATTTCTCAAGTTTAAAAAATATTTAAGTTTGAACAAAATTTATTGTTTGGTTGAAGAATTAATTTTTTAAGCTTGTCAAAAATTTCTTAATTTTGAATTAAGGACTAATTTCTCAAGTATTGAAAAAAATGATTTAAACCTAAATTTAAGTTTGAAATTTAATTTTAATTTAAATTTAAGTTTGAGTTTAAATTTAAATAGTGTCTGAAATATATTTCGTGTCATTCAAAATAAAAGTGATGTTTGATTATTTGATATGCACTCGTGAATTTCGCATACATTTACATAAATAGGTAATAGATGATTTATGGTTATGAAATGAACGTGTTGTGAAAATGATCTGTTTTCCATTGATCAATTGAAACAGATTTAGTGCAAGTCTCGTGTGTACACTTATCAATCACATTTTGGAGAGCGGATTACTCACTTCATCTAACAATACCTTTTTTCAAAATAATTCAGTACGAGATAGTGATGGAATTATTTCATGAACTATTCGAAATTAAATGTTAAAGGATTTTGACTATTTTAGAGATAATTATTTGTAGAATAGCAAGAATTATTTGCGTCACACAAGTTGGCAGCTGAAAACAATGTAAATCATACTGGTTCACATGCCAACCGTTTGATGAGAGGTGCAGGATATTAATCATAATGTTTCAATAACTAGCTTTAATTACTGAAAATTTGAAAACTTGAATATGTAAAAATTTGGAAGCTTGAAAGTTTTAAAACGTGAAAGCTTAAAAAAATTGAAAACTTGAAAATTTGAACGTTTGACGAATTAAATACTTGAAAACTTGAAAATACGAAATTATGAAAATTTGAAAAATTAAATATTTGAAAACTTGAAACTTAGAAAACCTGAAACATTGAAAGCTTGAAAACTAAAAAATTTGCAAATTTGAAAAAATTAAATATTTGAAAAATATTTTCATTGTATGTATTAGAAAACCTAAAAATTAAAAAACCTGAAAACTTGAAACCTCAAAACTGCAAAAAATGAAAATCTATGAATCTAACAGTGTGAGTTTATAAAAATTAAAAAACCTCAAAACTGCAAAAACAGATAAATGCATAAATTTGCATAAAAAATCGAATGAAATGTCCATCGCTACACTCGAAATTCGGTTGCGCCGATCAAATATAGCAGTTGGAATAAATTTTTCCTGTCCACCGAGAGTTGAGTAGTCCGCCCTCGACGCTTTTCGGCTGTTCGAAGGATATTCAAACGAACTGATCGTGTCGTTCGTATTTGCAGAACAACGAGAACGACACGGATGGCCAAACGGACGAGGGAGGAAGATTGACGAGGAAACACAGCGGTAGGAACCGTTCGGGAGCACCCACGGGATCCTTTGGACAGAGGACGTCTCCTGTCAGATCCACCACGCCGGAAGCGACACAAGTGAGTTCTTTCTTTTGCACTTAATTCGTTCTGTCACCTCGCCATGCTTTCTTTTTTATAATTACATCGTGTTCTTTTATTGTTCTGTGGAGACTAATATTTGTTGTATCGACTGAAATTTTATGGTTGTGAGACGGGTATTTTGTATGACGCACCTGGTGAGTCATTGGTTTACTGGATGTGAAGGTAGAATGTACTGTTGCGTCGTATTAATAATTTATAATTAGTTATTCATTCGATTTATTTATTATATTAAGTGCAACTTCGAGTTTATGGTCGTTTCTTGTATGACGCACCTGGTGAGTCATTGGTTATTTTTGGATGTGAAGGTAGAATGTTTATATCGTGTTCTTCTATTGCATACTAATAATTTACGACCAGTTATTGTCTTCGTTTATTTATTATATAAATTGTACTTTCAATTTTTCATACTTGGTATGACGCACATGGTGAGTCATGGGTTGTTTTGAATATGAAAGTAAAATTTTCATATTGTATTTTTTTACTGCAACATACTGATCATTTACGAGTAGTTACTCTTTTCGTTTATTAATTACATCAACTACAATTTCAATTTTATGATTGACTCCTGTAAGACGCACATGGTGTGTCATGGTTTATTTTGTATATGAAGGAAGAATAACATTTATACCGTATTTTTCTATTTCAGAACCTTAATAACTTATGATTAGTTATTCTTTTGGTTAAAGTTAATGTTAATCCTAATATCACAATTTATTCAGAAGACGCACTAGGTGCGTCTTCTATTATATTGAATAATACAGGGCACATTTTTAAAAATAATAGTATTTTGCTCATTGCAGTATATATACCATTCATACATTTTAATTATAATTCAATGTCAAATTCAGTTTTATAATAATTTCTCTCAAGACGCACCTGGTGCGTCTCCAATTATATTAAATAATACAGGACACATTTTTAAAAATAATAGTATTTTGCTCATTGCAGTATATATACCATTCATACATTTTAATTATAATTCAACGTCAATTTCAGTTTTATAATAATTTCTCTCAAGACGCACCTGGTGCGTCTTCTGTTATATTAAACATTACAAGACACATTTTTAAAAATAATAGCATTTTGCTCATCGTAGTATATACACTAGCCATGCATTTTAATTATAATTCAACGACAATTTCAATATTATAATACCTTTATTTAAGACGCACCTGGTGCGTCTATTATATTAAACAATAGATTTTCTAGAACAACATAAAGGTTTGTGAACTATTATAATATATAAATTAATCAGTCAAGTATTGTATTATTTATGATCCTACATCAATTTGAATTTTATAATAACTTCTCTGTCATCAATTTCGTGCGAATAATATATGACGCACCCGGTGTGTCCTCTCTATTGTGCCTGTTATCGATTACGTTTGAGAGCTTAGAAATTTATGAACATGATACATGAGCTATTCTAGGAAGGAAAGTAATTTTTCCTTTGACCTGAAGTGAAAAAATGAGGCTTCAAGGCAATATTTCAATGAGTACAAAGATGTACATAAACTCACATTTATTTTTCATTTATTTATTTTTTATATAATAGATGAAATTCAATACATAAACACAGTACATATTTATTGTTAAACAGAATAAATTTCCCTTAAGATTTGAGTAGAATACGAAATCAAAACTACACAAAGAAAATGTTTATCGTAATCTGAAAAACACGTAACACAAAAGCACCCCGAACAAAAAAACAAAACCCAGCAATAAAATTGCGAAAAAGCTCGGCTAAAACGCTCAGTAAATCAACTATCCCTTCAGAATGTTAAATTTCAGTTGAATGGCAACAATCGAGCAGTATAATCGAATCGAACCGTACAATTAGCTAATGGCCGCGAGAGAAAATAGACGGAAGAAAGAGAAGACCTTGTTCGGTATCGAGCTGCGAGAAAAAGCGCGGGAATTGGCCGTGTTCGATTGTGTTCGATGTAAATTAATTCGGTCAACGGAATCGATTGTTATGACTTGGGGTCAACGGGAAAACGCGTGGAAACGGGATGATCTCGTTAGCGATGGACTAAAATTCCCTTTGAAAAACTGCGAACCTTTTCGTTCCTTAAAATATCACGCTTTCAAAACCGTATGTCAAATGATGCTATTTATGTCACCATATTTCACTTTAGTTTATTAAATTTTTAATTTATAATTTAAATAATAAATTCAATTTTAGGATTAATATTGCAAATTTATATATTAACAGTTAGATTATGACAAATATATTATATTTTATTATATTAGTTTTATTATATTATATGTGCATTTCAAACTTGTATGTCACAGAATTTATATTATTAATTTATAGTATATTACAAATTTTTATATTCTACTTATATTAGAATATAATAAATGTAATGTAAATATGTTCAAAACTATAGTACTCAAATTTTATTTAGACAGTAAATAAATAATTATAAAATAGTTACAAATTATACATAATTTTGTACAATATTTATTTATACATTATATGAACAAATATATAATACTTGCAAGTTATGCATAATTTTGCACAATATTTATTTACACAGTATATAAACAAATATATAATACTTGCAAGTTATGCATAATTTTGCACAATATTTATTTACACAGTATATAAACAAATATATAATACTTGCAAGTTATACATAATTTTGCACAATATTTATTTACACAGTATATAAACAAATATGTAATACTTGCAAGTTATGCATAATTTTGCAGAATATTTATTTACACAGTATATAAACAAATATATAATACTTACACTTTATGTATAACCTTGCACAATATTTATTAAACACTGTAACCAAACAAATACAAAATACAAAATACAAATTAAGTATAATTTCACAAAATCTCTCAAACATCATCAGACTCAAAAAACATTTAAAATTTCCCCCCAAAAAAGTTAATATTTTTCCTACAAAAATTGAGATTACATAAATGTCTTGATAAGTGTACGCTCAATTAAGGAGACAGGTAATCGAAAGTCCTCCCCTACGTTTTACATAATAACCACGAATCGACCACTTGGAACACGTTGTTCTTGTACAGACGTAAGCATCGCAACCAGTTTTAGAAAATCTATCTCGCGTTTGATCGTTTCTTGGAATTAATATACGTACATTACGTATTCTTGCGCGGGAATTCGATATAGAACGACGCTGCTGGTAATTGATCGACCGATGGCGGATTTCTAAGTTTGTTCCGGCTACAAATGTATTCTCGAACGATCAACGCGTGTTTTCTAAGCGTGTCGGAGGTTGCAACATTTCGATGTGTGAAGGTTAGGTTACAGGTGTCGATTTCTGTCGACACATGTTTTCGAATTGAACGTGTGGTTTTCGTTTATTGGAAGTGATTTTCTGTGTGTCGTTTCTGGCACGCGACATTTTGTTTGTAGATGCCTTTGTTCTTTTTGGGAGATTTTTGTTTTGGAACCATTGAAAATTTTCTTGTAATGAAAATCAATTAACGTGGAGGATTGTTAATTGCTCGATTGTTAAATTTTTGGAGGAATAGCTTAAATACATCACTGATATTGTGAGAAATAGATATTCATTGTGGGAATGTTTTGTATAATATTTTTATACTGCAACAGTTTGTGAAATTGTAAAAAAAAAATTAGTGCAGAAATATTTAGGAATTAAATTATTTTTCAATGTCATATTTTTTATTGTTTGAATTATAACATTTATTTCTCTATTTTTATTTTGTACAAATTTGTACTTTGAAATGTGTAGTTTATTTTAAAAGGGAAATAATTAATATTTGTTGGAGAATTTTGTGAAATAGAGTTTGAGGTAATTTTTATGTCAGTTGAATTTTTATTAATAAGAATGAAATTGTTCTTGTTACAGGGCTCTGACTACGGAGAAAGGCAGAGTAGCTCAAGATCAGATTTCAGAAGGCAGAGTACAAGAGCTTCAGATGGCGCGGGATCCAGTTCGCGAAGGTAAATTAATTTGTAACATTTATGATATTCTAAATATAACATAATAAATTATCTATATAGCAGATTTGAACCCTTTCGAAATATAGAAAGTTTGAAGAAAATTTCATGACATAAAAGTATTTCCAAACACCACTTATAGTATATCAATTTAAAGGTTAAAATGTGCTGAAAATAGCTAGGTAATTTCCACGTAAATGTTCCTAACACAAAATGGCCGATTACCAATTAGAACGAAAAACAAACAATTTCGAACTCTTGAAAGTTTGAAAATAATTTCATGACATAAAAGTATTCTCAAACACCACTTATAGTATATCAATTTAAAGGTTAAAATGTGCTGAAAATAGCTAGGTAATTTTCACATGAACATTCCTAACACAAAATGGCCGATTACCAATTACAGTAAACTATGAACAATTTTTCACTATTGAAAGTTTGATAAGAATTTCATGACATAAAAGTATTCTCAAATACCACTTATAACACACCAATTTAAAGCTCAAAGCATCATAAAAATGTCTACATAAACATTTTATAGATACTCTTAACACAAAATGGCTGTCTGCCAATTGCTACAATCAATAAATAATTTAGCAACGTATAAAGTCTAATACTATTTGATGACATAAAAGCGTTGCAAAGTGCTGTGCATGGCATATTAATTTGAAGTTATAAACTTCATGAAAATGATTACATAAACGTTTATGAGTTGAAACAAGTAATGATTATTAATTGACAATGTCAGCAGATGTAAACTGATGGACTTTATTCACTGAAGTCGTTTTGAATTATGAACATCTATTAAAGGTTATATTTAAATACAATGTTATTGACATAGATCCTCCATGAAAAAGTCGATTCGAAAGAAGGCGCCATCACCGCCTTCCAATCCAGGTATTTTACGGGAAGTGAGTGAAGAGAAGGAAGATCATGCTTCAAAACCAGAAGAACCTCCGAGACGGAAGTATTCTTCAGACGAGAGTTCTGAAGAAGAAGACACGCGGGAACTTGAGGGAAACGTTTATACCAAAGCTGGAATGGAGGTATTTATATTTTACATTCGAATCCTTGTCATAGTAACTTTAACTTACGAATAGTTTCAGAATATTATTTATACTTTAATGAAAGTTATTATGTTATATGAAGATGTAGCTCATTATATTGTATCAAGTTTGGAAATATTTATCATCATTCTTTAAGTATCATTCTTCAAAGGTTAACACGTCATTAGAATACTAATGGGGGTGAAAAATGTCATATGTAGTTCATTAGAATAATTTAAATAATTTCGTATCAAAGAAGTGTATGAATGTAAATTTTTAAGAATTTGAAACATTCTTACATAAATTATTAAAGACGTTTATTATATATTTTTTGAAATAATTTCTTTTAGATTTCAAGAAAGAGTGCCGGAAATGTGAAACGCTCCAAAGCGGAAATTGAAGCGGATCCTGAGCAGGAAGATGAATACGGTTACACAAACAGTACGTACATAAATATTCTCTTTCTTTTGCATCAAAACCCATCATAAATGCAATATGTTCTATTTACTGAAATTTAAATAATTCTTCCATAGCATGTCTTCATTTATTAATTTTTCAGAATTAATAAAATTAAATGAATTATTGAATTGCTTCCTTAAGAATTTAAAATATATTGTACTAGAATTAATTATAAATTACACTTCTAACTTAAAAATTTATCAACTCGTTCAATTTAAATTTCCTGTCTACCCATTCTAATTATAGTGGTCGTGTTACAGTGAAAGTTCAAAAGAAATACCACGCGTTGGGACACAAAGTGCTGATGGTAAAAGTGGAAAAAGACAGGCGTGGATTAGGTATTTCGTTAGCAGGACACAAGGATCGAAATCGAATGGCGGTGTTCATTTGTGGCCTTAATCCAAAGGGTTCAGCTCACAAAGGGGGTGAGCTTGTGGTCGGTGATGAGATACTGGAGGTATGCATTTTATAATCTCTTTTGCAATTTTCAATTTCCCTTTTTAACGAATAAACTTTGAGTTTAATCTACAAACAATTTTTTTACTATGAACATTGTTTAAATATATTATTATTAATAGTTTTGTATTTATACACATTATTATAAATAGTTCTGCATTTATATATTTTAATGTTGTATCATACACTAATTACAATTTGAAATTTATCTTAGCAGCATAAATTTTCATGTTAATTCATATCATTAATATAATTGATGTAATATATAATTATTGCATATCATTTTAATAATCGTATCAGTAATTTTCATTACGTATTGCTTGAATAATTTTTAACGTTTTGCATCTGCAATTTTATTAAACATTTTTATTATGTACTCTTTTAACTTTGTGAATCATTTTACATAATTATATCTGCAATTTTATCTGTTTTTTTACTTACGTTTTTTTTTACTTATTGTTTCTATAACTTTGTCAGTGACATTTGTTATGTATTACATCTACAGTTTCATCAATAATAATTTTTGTTACACATATCAACAATTAACTTAATAATTTTACCACATACTATGTCGATATTTTGATAAAAAATGTTACGTATTAAATTTACAATTTTATTCGATATAATAATATTCATAATAATTAATAAATAATACTAAATATTCAGGTAAACGGTCGCGTATTACAAGGACGATGTCACCTGAACGCATCCGCCATGATAAAAGGCATGGCAGGCACCAGCTTCAAAATTGTCGTTCTTAGGTAACATCATACTCTTTCTTCTCGTGTATTTCGACACCTTTAATGTAACTAATTGAAATACAACACTCTGATCGCAGGAGGAGCAAGGCCCTTGATGATCTCGCCGTGAAGCCAATTGTTCAGTTCCCTCCGTCGCTCGAAGAGGTAGGCACTCGACAATAGCAAATATTTACCACGATACGTCTTCAAGAACTTTTACTAAAATTCTCTCATACAATATTCTTCAAACCATTATTTTTCTGTGTGAATTTATTAATAAAATTATTTAAGATTGAGACGTTTTTAGAATTTAGAACATTTAGGATTATTGGAACATTTTTACAATTTAGAACATTTAGGATTACTGGGACATTTTTAGAATTCAGAATATTTAAGGTTATTGGGATGTTTGCAGAATTTAGAGAATTTGGGTGACTAAGGGTGTATTAGTAGTGTCAATGATTTGTTTAGGAGGGAAGTTATTTAGTTATAAGTTTGGAGATTTGGGGATGCAGATATAGGGGGTGTAGGATTTGGAGATAATAGGGATTTAAAGATAAAAGGATTTGTTTAGGAAGGAATTTATTTAGTTACAAGTTTGGAGATTTGGGGATGTAGATATAGGGGGTGTAGGATTTGGAGATAATAGGGATTTGAAAATAAAAGGATTTGGAGATGTAGGGATTTGGGGATAATAGGAATTTGGAAATGAAAGGGATTTGAAGATGTGTGGATTTGGGGATATAGGGATTTGGGAATATAGGAAGTTGGGGATATGAGGATTTGAACATATAGGAACTTGAGAGTGTGAGGATTTGGTAATTTATGGATTTAGGTATTTGAGAATTTGGGGGTGTGGAAATTTAGGATTATAGATATTTGGAGATGTAAAGATTTGGGGTTGTAGAAATTTAGGAATGTAGGTATCTGGGGATGTAGAGTTTTGGGAACGTAGGAATTTAGTAATATAGAGATTTGGGAGCGTAGGTACTTGAAGATGTAGGTATTTGGATACGTATGAGTTTGGTGACATAGGTAGTTTGGGTATGTAGCTAATTATGTATGTATGTCTGTAGATATTTGGGATGTAAATATTTGGAAGTGTATAGATTGGAATATTTGAGAGTTTAGGTATACAGTGATTTATAAATACACATATTTGGAAGTGTACAGATTAGGATATTTGAAAATTAGGTATATACTGATTTAGGAATATACAAATTTGAGGATATATGAGTTTGAAGATATAAGAATTTACATATACAGAAATTCAGAGATATAGAGATTTGGTAATGTACAAATTAGATGTGTATTTTAAGAATTCACCTACCAAAATCAAAGACTAAAACTTGCAAGCCAAAAATACAAAAAGATGTCATTTTTCTACAAAGAATGTCATACAAATATAAATATCATTTACTGTTATAGAACACATTCAACCAGTACAAAGGCGTGAGGAATATCCCAGTGAAAAAGGCAAGTTTTACCAAAAAAGAGAGGATAGTGATGGAGCCTTACGATTACTACACGTAGGTTTTCTATGTGTAGGGTCAGTATGGATTGGGCATAATGATCATAGAAGGAAAACACGCGGAGGTTGGCCAAGGTATATTCATCTCTGACATACAAGAAGGCAGCGCTGCTGAACAGGTGATTCTATTTTTTAATTGGAAAACGCTGGATCAAACGTGTAGCGAATACTAATTGTCGACAAGTAGAAAACTTATTTCTCATTGTACGTGAAACTGGGTCATTCTCGTTCTTCTTTGAATTTTACAGGCTGGTCTGAATGTTGGTGATATGATACTTGCTGTTAATATGGACTGTTTGCTTGGCTCGACTTATGATGAGGTAATTTAAATTCTTTTTGAATATTCAGTATATGAAATAGTAGTTGATGATGAAGAATACTTGAGAGGAAGTATAATACTTCATTCAGGAATATTTGGAGGTTTAATATTAAAATGAAGGTCAGAGTTATAATATTTTATCTTTTAAAAGAATGTATCAGAAATAGAACTTAATTTTATAACTATTTTATATTATAATAGAATATTATTTTACAGTTTGAATTATAAGTTACTTTGAAATTTACAAGTTTGGTATTTAAAATATAGTATTTACTGAGAAGAAATGCATTTTCTGTTTATCCATAGGCAACGAGCTTATTAAAGAAAGCAGAAGGTGTGGTGACTCTCACAGTATGTAATCCTAATCAAAGCAAAGTTGCAAAGGAAGAGGAAGATAGAGCAAAGGGCATCATCCCTGAAGAAAAACGTAAATAAGATTTTATTCATGTTATAGTTGATGCAATACTGTGTTATCATTTAATTTTGTGGTACACTCTAGTTTAATTTGTTAATTTATCTTATTTGCCAATTTTTAATATTTTATTTTGTTCATTTTATTTCAGTTTTACTTAATTTTATTTTATATTATGTGTCAATTTTATATGGAGTTTCAATTTTATTTAATTCTATTTTATATTGCATTAAAATCTTATTTAATTTTACTTCTCTTTTTAACCTCATCATCCCTTAAGTTTTAAACAAATTCAATATTACTTTAACAAGAGAAATATTCATTAATTTTTTCCCTATAAAATATGTTTCAGCACCTGCACCAAAAGAGCCAGAAAAACCAAAGGAACCAGAACCCCCATCAGATCCAAAGGACTGTAAAATAGTAACCGGAAAAGACACAACGATAGAATTCCAAAAAGAGAAGGACAAAGGCATTGGTTTCACCATAGCAGGTGGTTCAGACACCCCATTGGTAATATTCCTTATTCTAAAAATTACTAAAATGTAACATATAACACTTGCTAAAAGCTTGTATTATTTGATTTCAGAAAAAGGTGTTCATACTGGAAGTATTTCCTGATGGAGCAGCAGGAAAAGATGGACGATTGCAGTCCGGGGATGAAATACTGGACATGTGTAATAAAAGTTTCAAGGAGATTGAGCACGAAAAAGCTCATGCTGCTGTTTTGAAAGCTTCGGGAACGGTACATATTATTTTCAAGACTTCTTACAATTTAACTAATGTGATACCTATAAATGAAATGAAGAATAATTGCAAATGTGTAGTAGCTCTAGTGTTAAATATGAAGTACTTCAGCATGTGGTAGTTTTAATACCAAAATTTAATGACTAAATTTTATTATCATTTCTAGATCGTGATGGTAGTTCACCGACAAGAGAAACCAGAGGAAGAAATCGAGGTGGAATTACAAAAGAAATCTGGCAAAGGAGCTGGTCTCTGTCTGACAGGATATAAGAGTGGAAAAGGAGCATATGTGTCAGACTTGGTAATCCAACATACATTTAAAAACGACACAATTTTGAATGATAAAATCTTTATAATTAATATAATATTCGAGGTATTTCTATGTATTTTTAATACGTCTGTATAGATACCCGGAGGCAGTGCATTGGAATGTGGAAAAATTTGCAAAGGAGATCGAGTTGTGGCGGTTGGTGGACAAGATGTTCGCGAAGCTCCAGTAGAAGATATTGCGGTCCACGTGAAAGTTTCAAATCCGGTGCAATTGAAACTTGCTAGGTTCAAGTCCGCTAAACAATGACAGGTATGTTATTCTTTTCAATTTTTTTAATTTTAAATTCTCTGGTTTTCGGTTCCTCAATTTCTTAATTTCTTAGTTTGGAAATTCTTCACATTTTCAGGTTGTCAATTGTCCAATTCTCTAATTTTTCAATTCTTTAATTTTTCAATTATTCAATTATTCAATTCTTTAACTTTTTAATTTTTCAACTCTTCAATTCTTCAATTCTTCAATTTTCCAATTCTTTAATTCTTCAATTTCTTAATTTCTCAGTTTGGTAATTCTTCGAATTTTCAGGCTGTCAATTGTCCAATTCTCCAATTTTTCAATTCTTTAATTATTCAATTATTCAATTATTCAATTTTTCAATTCTTCAATTCTTCAATTCTTCAATTCTTCAATTCTTTAATTCTTAAATTCTTCAACTTTTCAATTCTTCCATTTTTCAATTCTTCAATTCTTTAATTTCTCGTTGTGAAAGTTTTCAATTTTCAAATTTTTAAATCTGTTAAGAATTCAATTCTTAAGTTACTTCATTGTTCAATCACTCAATTTTTCTATTATTTAATTTATTAATTCTTCACTAAACCACTACATCATTTCACCCTATCATTAATTGTTTCATACATCACTACACCATATTATTTATTAATCAGTTGTTCCCTATATGACTGCATCATGAAGTGATTATCCAACAATCAACCACATATCATAAAATAATAAAAACTTGAATAATTATTAAATTTCTATAGGTTTGAATGGTACTTTTTACATTCTAGGGTTCTGCAGGCGGAGCTCTGAAAGCGGATGTCAAAAGGACGATACCCGTCAGACACCACGGTCTCTAGTGTGATATGACTATACCAAAGTAACTATAAATAATTACATAAACACTATTTGCTATTAAGTATCGTGATCTGATCGACGCACGATCGATCGATCTCGCCAATGCAATCCAAGCCGTAATTTCTTAGCGAGTTTTTTCAAAGCCACGTGACATCCTGGCACTCTAAATCTAGGGATTTTTCAGCGCCGTTTTCTATAGCGAAACACGGACGACGATTATTTCGTCGACGACACGTAAAAAAAAAAAATTAAAGAAAAGAAATATCGTCGATCGCAAAAAGATTCCGTCTGTCACGATCAACATCCGGCGAGTAGTCGATGCATTCATGTAAGACACGCGTACATTTTATGTAGAATTAATGATACACAGAGTATTTATGCAGTTAGTTATATACTAGGTGTTTCGAGCGTAAATGGTACCAGAAAACTATACTGATTTTATGTGAAGAAAACAAAGAAAATTATATTTTTTGTTTATATATTCATATTTATTCTGGAGATTTGTAGATTTGTATTTATAGTTATTTTACAGACTTACAGTTTTATATTTATTTTACAGACTAGTATACATCTGCAATTATTTTTAATATGCTGTAAATATGTAATTTTATGTTACAAAAAATATAAAATGAAGTTCCTTATGTACAAAATTTATTTTTTAAAGAATTTGATTACTTGTTTGTAAAATTGACTAATTGTTTGTAAAATCTGTAATTTTCTATTGTTTCACCAGTCTCAATTTATTACCTTTTATCAAAATAATAGTATTAATTACTGTGCTAGTCAAAATTGTCCATTATTATTTCATTTTTTTATTATGTCAGTGTATTAACATATTCAAACCCAACGTAACAGATGTTGTATTCTCCACCTTGCTGCAGTGTGTGTTATTACACAGTTGGGTTTCAAGGTGTCATTATATAAAATGAACATTAAAAAGAGCAGTATTATAAATGTTTTATTAAGGACACAATATATTTTATGAATGTATGTTTATATAATATTCTTCATGAACATATTTTTGTCTAATACGTTTAATACATATATGTTCATGTAATATACTTCATGGATATATGTTTATGTAATATATTTAACAAGTGTATGTTCATATAATATACTTCATGAATATATGTTTGTCTAATATATTTAATACATGTATGTTCATGTAACATATTTCATGAATATATGTTCATCTAATGTATTTAATACATGTATGTTCATGTAATATATTTCATGAACATATGTTTGTCTAATATATTTAATAAATGTATGATCATGTAATATATTTCATAAACATATATTCATTTGATATACTTCATAATTACATACTTATCTAATATATTCAATAAATATATGTTCATACAAAATACTTTACACATACATACAATATATTTTATCAATTTTAAAGGCTCACATATTCACATAAAATACCAATAATTTTCTCGTAAAATTTACGTCGAAACACCCTCCACATTGTAATAACCACGTGTTATGAACGATCCCGAAGAAAAAGAAGCTCGAGTACTTGAAAACCCAAAAAAAGAGAAAATAAAACGAAGAGCCTCTTTCTCATCGTGTCACCATCTCTTCATACAAAAAACTTGCTTGTACGATTTCGTATCACTTACGTTTAAGCTAGACGACTTTAGAATTCTTAGGGACAAACGGTGAAAAAAGAAGAAGAAGATTGCAACCCTCTTAAACGCGATCTTGTTCACGAGATTACTTGACGAATGAGGGCTTGTTGATTGCGTGTAGTTCAATTTATCCTATTATCCTAGTCCTTAGCGTAGATTTTCAAAATGGAAGTTAGCGGAGAGTTTATTTAATTAATAAAGGAGATTCATCACGCAATTAGTGTTCGTACGAGTGTTTTCGCTTGAATTTCATTGTAGCCATCCTGACGCGTGCACGAGTCCGCCATTTTGTCGTCGCTGACATTACGTGTAAATATCTTTGTTTACTGTTGTATAAGAAAACTCCTCAGAAGAAAATTACACGATTTCTATGGATATTACGAGCGAAAAATAATTCTGTATCAAATTTTTATATAAAATTTCTAAATTTTCTTGAATCTAAATTTCTAAAATTTCTTAAATCTAAATTTTGATGAGATTTGAAGGTTATGTTCTGTCGAATTACATAATTCGTTCTATTTAAATTACTTCTAAGATTTTAGGTGAATACAAACTTGATAGTATTACAAGTTTGAAATAGTTTGTGAAATTTTTAATTTCAAAGTTAAATATTTTTCTATAATGAATAATAAAAAATTCTTTTGTTATTCTAATATGATTTCAAGCTTATTTATAGTTCTTTAAATCGTGTACTTTTACTGAGGATTTTTATGTAAATTCCTCGTGAGATTTTATGTAAAAAGAGAGTATATTAGGGTACAATATTAAAAAAATGAATGAGTGATCGATATTTTAAATTTAAAAGATATTTCGTATACGAAATTTGGAAAAAACAAATTTTTTTTTTTATTATTGTACTTTAATGTATTTTTATAATGTATTAAAATAATTCATGTGTAGATGAAGTTAAAGAGTGAATTATTTATGAAATTTATTTTGAATATAGGTTTTATCAAGTTTATCGAATTATAATTTTAATTGTGCATAATGAGAGGCTAATTATATGTGCTCGTGTTAGCGAAGGGAACACTCGACACAAAGCACGCGAAAATTTAGTATTATACATATGAACGATGGGTATACAGGGCGATCCATTTTAAAGAAACTATAATTGAATTTCAAAAAAAAATTGAGAGTGAGTATTCTGAGATCGAAAAGAAGGTTCATAATTTCTGTAATACAAAGGAAAAATTAATTCTGTAAAATTTCTGGAATTTAGAATTTATGGAAACTAGATATTACTACAATTTTTGAATTGCAAAGTTTTCAAGCTTTATGAATTGAAAGATTTGAGATGTTGAATTTCTAGAGATTTAGAAGGTTTAATTGTTTTAGAAATTTTGAAAGTGTTGAAATTCTAAAATTCTAAAATTCTAAAATTCTAAAATTCTAAAATTCTAAAATTCTAAAATTCTAAAATTCTAAAATTCTAAAATTCTAAAATTCTAAAATTCTAAAATTCTAAAATTCTAAAATTCTAAAATTCTAAAATTCTAAAATTCTAAAATTCTAAAATTCTAAAATTCTAAAATTCTAAAATTCTAAAATTCTAAAATTCTAAAATTCTAAAATTCTAAAATTCTAAAATTCTAAAATTCTAAAATTCTAAAATTCTAAAATTCTAAAATTCTAAAATTCTAAAATTCTAAAATTCTAAAACTAAAATTCTAAAATTCTAACATTCTAAAATTCTAACATTCTAAAATTCTAAAATTCTAACATTCTAAAATTCTAAAATTCCAAAATTCTAAAATTCCAAACTTTTAAAATCCCAAACTTCTAAAATCCCAAACTTCTAAAATCCCAAACTTCTAAAATCCCAAACTTCTAAAATCCCAAAATTCTAAAACCCTCAAATTCTCAAATCCCAAAATTCCAAACCCCTCAATTCTAAAACCCTCAAATCCAAAAATCCCCAAATCCCAAAATCCTCAAATCCTCAAATTCTCAAATCTCAAAATTCTAAAATTCTCAAATCCCAAAATCCCAAAATTCTAAACTCCTCAAACCCCAAAATCCCAAATTCCCAAAACCCCAAAATAAACTAAAACACCCCAAGTACTCAAACTAAAAACACCCTCTTTCCTCTTCGATCACAGAATACCAAACCTTCACAAAACAAACTTAAAATTGACCACCCTGTATATCCTTTCGTGGCCACGTGCACCATAAAAGCTAGCTATCCGTTGTTGCTTTTGATTTCGATACACAACATCGAATTGAGATATCGAGGCCAGGTTCAAGGTAACCAACGAAACAGTGAGCGAACGAACGCGCGAAAATTCAAACGATTTATCATCATCACCTATTTATACAAATAAATGCATACTTACTCGAAGATTTGCATTTATCAGCGATGGGGAAAAATTATTTCTTTACTATCATTCTTATTATTTTTAATTATTATCATTTTTAAAATGTTGGGTATTCAAAAATAATACATTATTCAACTTTAATGTATTGATAATATATTTAATTTTTAATGCATTGATTATGATAATTAATTACATGTATTATATGCATAATTAATTTCTTGTATTATTATTATTATTATTATTATTATATATAGAATTAATTATATGTACAAATTTGCTCAGTATTAACTCATTACTTTCAAAGAAATTTTTTATTTATCCACCAATTTTTGAAATTACAAAATTTTCTTGTTAAAAAGCTTCTACAAAATTTGTCGAACGAATAAAAATTCTGAAACCTCATCGCCCATCTGCAAATACTCTTCGAGAACAAAAAGGTGATCCGCAAAAATAATCGCGGAATTCGTTCGTTCAATTCTCTTTGCAAAAACCGGAAGATTGTAAAATGGCGTAAACGTTTCAGAGAATGAATTTTCTGTTCGCGAATGTGAGAACGAATGAATGAGTATGAGAGCGTGAAACAAAGAGAGAGAGAAAGAAATAAAGAAATTAGAAAAAAAAAAAAAGAAGCTTAGAGCTAATATTTGCAGACTAATTAGCCGGAGTACTTCCGGTACTCCAAATGCCTTCGAAATTCGGGGAGCAATACAATCGAGCCACTTTTACAGTCAACGACTCGAATTACTATTATTATTATCGGCGTTAATGTCGTTATTATTAGTATCGTCATCATTATTATTAATTATTATGATTATTATGATTATTGTAATACTTGTTATCGCAGACACTGTCATTCTAGCGCGGCACTATCGAAGGTTACGAAGTGAAAATCGATTATATATATATATATATATATTATATAATATTATAGAGCGCGGACAAAACAGATCGAAATCTATTAAAAGCATTTATTGCAAAGTTCCAATACCTAATGTTTTATTTATGGAGTCTTCTTCTTTCGTTGCAGGCTGAGGTAAGTTAGATTACATTTTCTCTTAGAATTCTTTTTTAATTAGTTTTAAGGAGTTTGTAAGGAGTTTGGTGTGTGAGTAAAGGGAGTTGGGATGTTGAGAAAGGAGACTTTGGAGTGTGGAACATGTTTGGAATTCTTTTTGAGGTGGGGCAAATATTTGTGAATGTACTTTGGGATATTGGATATTTTGGGGTTTTGAGGGTTTGAGGATTTGGAGATTTGGAATTTTGGGCTTTTGAGAATTAAGGGATTGGGGAATTTGGGATATTGAAATTTAGGAATTTTGAGAGCTGTAATGTCGAGAATTTGAAACTTTGAGTGTTTGGAACTTTGAGAAGTTTGGAACTTGAGAGTTTGGGACTTTAAGAAGTTCGGAACTTGAGAATTTTGGGACCTTGAGAGTTTGGGACTTCGAGAAATTTGAAATTTGAGAATTTTGGGACCTTGAGAGTTTGGGACTTCGAGAAATTTGGAACTTGAGAATTTTGGAATTTGAGAATTTTGGAAC